CTGTGACTTGTAATTTTATATTTTCTGTAAAGACAAATATATTTTTAAAAAGCATGCTTAGTATCAGCACTTTTAATTTGAAGGAAAAATGACTATGGGTTTCTAATCAGGAAATTTGATCCCTGTCTGTATTGAGGTCCTATGCCAGTGTAACAACTATTTTTTTCTGAAAATATTCTTCCTAGTACAGATAGTCCTTGTTTAGCAACCACAATTAGGACTGGCAACTGGATTGCTAAGTGAAACTGCGACTGTGCTTATAATCTTACTTCAGCTTTCCTTTGCTTTACAGACCTGTGAAGGTCGTAAATGCGAGGACTGGTCACAAAGTTATTTTTTCATACCACAGTCGCTAAATGAGGCAGTTCATACCACAGTTGCTAAATGAGGATTACCTGTACTTCTTCAAAAGGCTCTGCACACATAAATAGCAACTGAAGTTAAATAGTCTTTCAAGTCCTATATGGTCTACATCTGTCTGCATCTCTGAAGTTCTGCATCTCTGAGGTCTGCATCTCTGAGGGTTTGTTTGTTTGTTTGTTTGTTTATTATTTATTTATTGTATTTATATAGCTGCCCATATCACACAAAGTGACTCATTGGGTTAAATTGTCGGCATCTTTGAGTGTTTAACCATTTCCTGTCTGTATTACTACAGGTAAAATTCTGGTCTCAGCATATTTCATTTATTCTTGTTGGAATAATTATTGTCACCTCTATCAGAGGCTTATTAATAACACTCACAAAGGTAAGCCTGAGGGCAGTCCTACTATATGAACTGTATTGGAGCAACGAAAAGAGCAAATAAATATGTCTGTCTGTAAACTGTCTGTAGGACTGAGTTGTAAGTTTCAAAAATCTGGAATGGCTGCTAGAAGTAGCAGCTCCAAATTGAGTTCATTTCAAGTTCATTGGTATCATTATTCTGAGAAGTTCCCAACCCCTGGCCTACAGCATTATAGAGATGTGTAGTATTAAGACCTGCAGTAGACAAAGTTACTTCAAATCTGGCACAGGTGCCCTTTCTCTATCACAGTGTTTCTCAACCTGGCTGGGAATTCTAGGAGTTGAAGTCCACACATCTTAAAGTTGCCAAGGTTGAGAAACACTGCTGTATCAGTTGACAGTCACCTCCTTAATTTTCCCTTAAGGCCAGGCGTGGGGAGCAAACTATCTCTTTGTGATTTGTGATTGTTTGATAGGTCACTATAAATCATTGGAACTGATTTTCTTGAGAAGTGAAAGAAAATGGTTTGAAATCTAATTAGCATTTTATCCTTTAGATAGGTTTTAATAGTCCAAGGCTGCTCTAAAGTTGCTTTTTGGATATAATAGTTCTTTTGTTTACAATTACAAATGACAATTGTGATCTTAGTGAAGTGCTGCTGTTTTTTCGCACACTAGAAAACATCTGAAGTGATCAGTTATCACTGGGCAGAAAACAATCCTGCCATATCAGCAATATGTTCAGTTGCACACTCCTCAAGTACCGACTATTTATAGCGGAGTTACATAAAATGTGATCATCATTACTTGAGCAGTCCCATTTATCTCTGGGCTATGCGTTCAGGTTGGATTTGCAAAAATATAGATTGCTATTTCTGTAATCATGACAGCATTTTTTTGTCTAAATTCTGCTGTTCCTCGTGTTAACCTACTTGTTCACTTAAATGCAAGTCCAAAAATCATCAGGACTGTTTGCATGTAGGACCAATTTTTTTTTTGGGGGATAGGTGATGCTGGGTGAATGTGGAATGGAGTGTGAGGTACTGTATGATGAAATATGTATAATGGAATAATAAAGAGTTTTGCCACAACTTACCTTACATTATTTTTTTTTCCTAATGAGCAGTTCTAATGATGGTGGTTACATTAGGCATGAAGACCTTCCTTTTATTAATCACTATTAATGTGACTTATTTTTAATTTAGCTCTAAAAATATTTATTAAATCGTGTTTGCCATATTGTCATGATTATTTCAGCATGTGAGCTGACTTTCTTTGTTTGTCTTCCTTAGTTTTTCTATGCTATCTCAAGCAGCAAATCTTCTAATGTTATTGTTCTGTTGCTAGCACAGATTATGGTGAGTATTTCAACCCATTTGAATAGCAACTTGTGCTTTCTCAGCTATGTAAGCAGCAGGAAAAATGGGAAGCCTAATGTTTCTTTTATCTTCTCTGCAGGGAATGTATTTTGTGTCTTCTGTGCTTCTGATTCGAATGAGTATGCCTCTAGAGTATCGTACTATCATTACTGAAGTTCTAGGAGAATTACAGTTTAACTTCTACCACCGATGGTTTGATGTTATATTTCTTGTCAGTGCTCTTTCCAGCATCCTGTTTCTCTATCTGGCACATAAGCAGGCTCCTGAGAAACATATGACACTCTGAATTCATCTTAATTCTCCAGCTCAAGACCAGTGAAAATTACGAATTTGGCATATCACCATGTTATGATGGCTCTTCCTATGATGGACAGTCAAATCAAATCAAATGCTTCACTGTAGGCAAAGAGAGACAAGCCTCTGGGTCTTTAAAAGTGAAAAGAAGCCATAAAAGGGAATATTGGGGACCTCTCACAAAGCTGGAGATGAAGCCATTCTACAGTTTTTACTCAATGTAGTTGGCAAAATGTTTGCTTCATTGTCTTAATATTGATGATAATGATTCTAAAAGACTGAATAAAACAACATTTGTTATAATTCCCAGTAATACTGTGACAGTTTCCAGATTTGCAAAGTTAGTATTTAGAAGTGGGACGAAGTTAGATGAATAATTAATTTCTGTATTTTTCTAAAGCAAATTCAACAGATTGTGACTGAAATGAAAAAAACCCTATCTCCCTGGAACTCAAAAATACAGGCATTGTCTAGCACTGCTTATCACTTTGCACCCTTTCATTCCATTAAATCAGCATGTACAACTTCAGCATTAAATATAGTCATCTCCAAAACTGTTAATGTGGCTCCCAGAATTCCTCCAAATGTTAGTGCTCAGTTATAACTCTTACTGTAATATAATGGAAAACCTGACACCACCTCTTGGTAGGCTCCTGACATAACCACTCAAAACCAAATACTGTAACTTCAATATTGCTGATAAAACCTGTTCTTTTGAGTCACTGTTTTAAGAGAAATCCACTTTATGGATATGAAACAAGTGTTTACAGCAAGTGATGAAGTAATTAACAGTTGAATTTTCTTTAACTTTACTTTCTCCAAACAAAGCCCTGTGCACCATGGAGGTAAAGGTGTAAAATGAAGAATGCAGGACAGATGAGAAAAAATATTGATAATAACTTAATACATGGAGTACTGAAGAGAATCTGTCAGCCTTACTTCAGACTATGAACAGTATCTGTTGGTTTGTTGGTAAGGAAATATTGCCAGGACTTGGTACTGGCTTAATCATCTAGATCAGTGTTTCTTAAAGTGTGGTCCTAGGAACCCTGGTGTCCCCCAAGACCCTTTCAAGAGTCATCAAAATTATTTGCCAGCCTATGTTGAAAAATAGGAAATATTAAAATTTCATCAAACAAGTGTGAGAAGCAGCAGCAGCAAATGTATCAATTTTAATTTTTAATACAGTAAATATTTGCCAGTTTGGTGTAGTGGTTAAGGCACCAGGCTAGAAACTAGGAGACTGAGTTCTAGTCCTGCCTTAGGCACAAAGCCAACTGGGTGACTTTGGGCCAGTCACTTTCTCTCAGCCTCAGGCAATGGAAACCACTTCTGAAAAACCTTTCCAAGAAAACTTCAGAGACTTGTCCAGGCAGTCATCAGGAGTCACCATTGATGGGAAAGCACCAATATAGGATAAATATGGGTCCTCCATAATTTTTAAACGTGGAAAGGGGTCCTGAGAGAACAAGTTTAAGAAACACTGATCTAGATTGTTGGCATTACAAAACTCAGAAAAGCTTTGTGTAATTGGGAACTCAGCAGTAGTTTCTGTCCTCTAAGCAGAAGACAGAAAGAAGAATAGTGTGTGCTGAAAGAATGACAATGAAACCAACCAGGACTGCATGTACATATGTGTGATAACTTAACCATAGGAAAAATCTTGAGTTTTAAAAAATGCTTTAATTTTAAAGAGCCTCTTGTCTTCATTATTCTATCACAAAAAAGGAACCCATGTGTTTACACTCAAATGTTCACTTGCAAATTCACAACAACAGCCTGTATGGCATTGGTTGGTTCTTGGCTTCTTTCACGGGGTTGTTCTGAAATTCTGTGGTTCAGTCAAGTGAATTAGCATTAGGCAATATTGGAGATTCGGACACCACAATTTAATTTCCCAACTTTCTAAAAAAACTATAGCAGGATATGCAGTAATAGGGTAACATCACTGGAAGAAGAGACAAAAGAATTTCATCCCTTTTATCTTCCATTCTCATTTTTACCTTGAATTTGGGGGGTGGGGAGAAAAAGAAAAATTGTGCTGCTGAAGTATGTCCATTTGCTACTGAAATTCAGTGGCCGAGTCTTGGGATGATGAGGGGCAGGCTGCAGGTTGTGCCCCTTGTATTAAATAAATCACAGCAGCCTGGTCATGGGAGGAGCAAGTGAGTGCAATCAGAACCACATGCACTGGCATGTTAGATGGTTAAGTCAGAAGATGTGTGCGGAATGCAAACTGACTGTAGATATGGAGTACTGGAAACAGATGACATAAAATGAAAATTTATTTTTAAAACTTTATAATATGTATCAACCAGAACTAGACATCCCAGTATGTAACTGGCATTTTTTGGTTTCTTTGCAGAACCTAATGTTCAGCTACAAGGCCTAAAGTTAATTCTGAACTTAACTAAAATTGGATGCAGTTGAAGAAAGTATCACAGAATAAATGCAACATATTTTAATTTTAGTTTAATTAATTAATTGGGATATATAGTTAAGTGTACTTGCATATAATAGAATTCTCATTGTGCATTTACTCCACATGAACATAGATTCTGGTAAAAGACTCCAGTTGCAAAGAGATTTTACTCATGTTCAAATGAACATGGGAAAAAACTCAGACCATGTTACTGTATATTTGATTCCCATCTCTCTCACCATTTTAAACACCTGCACACTGAGGAATTGCAGGACAAGAACTCAGATGTCAAGTACTGACTTATATTGTTCTCATACAACATCTTTGGCTGCAATGAACTCTATGATGTTTTTGTATCCAGTGTGGTATGGTGGATTGTAGTCTGAACTGCAGCTTAACTATGTTATTATTTTCAGTACGTTCATTGGGAAGTAACGATATGATTGCAGCCAAGTTTTTTTTTTTTTTGAGGAATAATATTGGCACCTCTGCTTCAGAATAGCAGTCATGCAGCAGTGTCTTTCAGGTACAATATGGAAAAAGACTTGGACTCTGGTATCATCACAATACAGTATCTTCTTCAGAGGAGGATGAGCTGGCCTAGGGAAAGAAAACTCTGTTAGACTGCAAATGATTTATAGCACCATTAAGATGAATCAGTTATATCATCAACTTTATAGATCGAGCTGTCAGATGAATTGACAGAGTAGAAATCTGAATTGCTGGTCTGATTGTGTCTGCTCAAAAAGAGTAAAAGTTTTTAAAAAGCCAAAGCATTTAACAGGTTAATAACAAATGTTTAGTCATTCTGTGATTTAAGCACAGCTTGAGCAAAGGCTCAGCCTAGCTATCTAAGCCAATTCTGCATTTTTAGGTCAGATCACTCAATTATTAGCAGTGAATCATATTACTTTGACAACCAGATAACCGCTGATTCCTGTGACGTTTTTCCTGATGTTAATGCAAGGAAACTCACCCTTTCTCGTGGTTCTGGCAGTGTGTTTTCTGGCTCTGCTGCTTGTATCTCTGCATAGGCAGGAGGCTCACTACTGTCATCATTTAATGGATCAGCCGTTGAGGCTGTAACAGCCTTATTTTGGGAACAGAAGTGCTGATAAACCTCTTCTCCACACACCAGTAGTGTCAGTCTGTTGCCACCATCGTGAATTCTTGCTACTACATCTTCATAGTCTTCATTTTCTACATTGGTACCATTCACTTCTATCACAATGTCGTCGTCTTGCAGCCCTGCTACATCTGCAGGCCCATCCTTTTGTACCTGCAATTAGATTGCATCTGAAACTACTGTATTAGAAGCTGCTATTATGCTTGATTGGGAACAGGACAGTGCAGGGTAGGTGGAGTTTTAAGCCAAATCTGGATACACACACACAGCAAACAATCAGTAGTACATAACGGTTGAAATACAAATTACTTCTTTATTCAGGGGTGGGCAACTTGCTTGCAGCCAGGTGTTGCTCCTTTGGGATAGAGGCATGACCACTGGGGGCGAGGGTGGGTGGGGAGTGTGTCTGCATGATGGCAGGTGCGGCATTACAATTGGAGCCCTTTTGTGCAGAAGAAGCATGCTGTCAACTGTAATGCCTTGGCTGCCATTTGGCAGATTTTGAGCCCACTTGTGGACTATGTGGGGTAGTTAAGGCCTCAAGTGGCTGCTTTAAGTTTGCAGATGCTTAAGATACTTATTTTGTCTGTTAATGGACTCTCCCCACATGAAAAAAAAGCACCATTATGGAGAGGGGCTTGAGATTTCTAACTATGAACTATACCCGAGCTTTTATTCCTTGCTCCAGGTACAGAGGGGCACACCTAGCCTGATCGTGCAGTTATATTTTATATTTTCTGCTTTTTAGTGAAATAGTAAAGACAATATATTTAAGCATGTTATTATTTGTACATGCAAAGCAACATCCATTTTTAAAAAAATGACTGCTTTTAAAGCACCAAAGTGTCTTAAAACCAAAACTCCAGTGGATGATCCCAGCATTTCCGTGTAGAAGCAAACATTCATTGCCTCAGTTTACAAGAAATGGCTCTATACTATTTCCCCCATCATTCACCATAATATACACCAGGAGATTATGAAGACAATTTACTTAGGTGAAAATTGAAAATACAGAGTCACCTCTTAAGCTACTCTGCACATAATTTCAGCATTTATATAAATTCCTGTTACTTTGTTGTGCTTTAATACCTATTTCTGTAAACTGTTGACACAGTGCATTTTCTATACCGATTATGTCTATTTGTACACAGATATACCAATGTGGGAATTAAAATTGGTGGAGAATTTTATTGCTTGGATTTTGCCAATATATTTGCTATTTACTGTAGACTAACACTGTTTTTTTTAAAAAAATCTCAGTCTGAATCTAATTATCTGATACTGTTTTTAAAAATATGTTTATTTACAACATGACAAATTTCTTTAAAGTGCATAAAATAGTTATTCAATCAACATTAATTTAATCACATTTTAAAATAGATCTTGGCAAAAAAAAAAGTGGCAGGGGAGGAATAAAAAATACTTGGAATGAAATTAAAATATGAGAATAAAGGTGTATTATGTTGCTCAGTATTAAATCGCTAAAGTCTGTTTCCAGAATGAACATTAACAAATTAGTCTGTTTGGTTCTGGAAAATATTCTACTGTGTTGGTTTCAAATTTATTTTACTCAGCAGCTATTGTATCTTGCCAAGACAGAACAAAGATACACCACTATATATATTCTGCTGAGTACATTCACACTACAATGATTTTGTGTGAAGGCTGTATTCTCTTGCCTGATTGATGGTGCCATGTTTCTTTTGCCAATAAGAAGATTCTAGAGTAATACCTCTTTGATGAACAGGCCAGGCAAATCCTTAATGGCATTCAATCGAAAACCGAATCCAGTGGGACTCTTTATGAGTTTACAGAGTCTGGGCTTGTGATTTTCTTCCTCAGCATATGTGGGTATCTTTGCCATGCTCAGATTTGGCTCCAGTATTGTACGGTAGTAGAGACAAGGAGATATTTTAGCCTTAACCAAGAACAAAAAAACATGAATTGAAACATAATGAATACTAGCCTGAACATGGGGATGCGTGATTCTTCATGACTGTTGTGGAAGAGGAGTAGAGAAGCAGATGCCATGGGATGTCTCCTGTGCCCTGTCTCCTTCCCTTGCAGTTTTTCACAGTCCAGAAGGAAGGAAGCTTAAATTGGTGAAGGCAGCTGGGTTACAGGGAAGGGATGGTTTGGTCACAGACTCTTGGAGTTGAGCAATGACTCCATTGTCATTGCTGGCATATTTTTTGGCAATCAGCTGAATGACATTATGTGTGTGTCTGGGGGAGGTGGACACTTAAGTGCTCCTCCATTGCTGAATAAAAGCTAAATAGGAAGGAGAATTGCACATGCCCAAATGTTTTATAGGGTATATTTCATAAGAACAAGGAGAATAAATTATCTGACTTGCCAACTTCTGGCCTTAGCACAGCTCACTGTTTATTTTGGCCTAGTCTACCACCACTGTGTAACTTCTGACCCCTTTCCTGGAGGGAATGCAGTTTGGGAGGGAGCCTGCTAAGAAAGGAGGTTCATGCTTGAATTTCCTTTTAGCTATGGAGGCTCACTGAGCGACAGAGCAGCCACTCTCACAGGGTTGTTGTGAAGAAAAATGGGGTGCTATGTATACCGCCATTAGTTCCTGAAGGAAAGGTGGAATATGCATCTAAAAATGAATTAAATTAAAATGTTCTGAGTAGGGCTAAAATAAATTCAGATGTCAGGAAATAGATGCTAGAAACTCAAGCGTTAGCCTGGACTTTAGCAGGCCATATCCGATAGCCTAATTCTAAGCAGAGATAGACTTTTAAAGATCTCAAAAGTCATTTCTCCTGCCTATCAGTAGACCACACCTTCAGTTATTCTTTCTTCCTATATCCTGTCAACATACCAAAAATTACAGAGAATAAAGCAATGAAGAGTTCTGAAACCCTTGACTGATGCAATAGTTTTGTCACCTTCAAATCCTATCATTGCTTATATACTTATATTCCTTTTGAAGACAAATAGTTTCTACAAAGCAATTTACAATAACCAAACTAATGTACATTCAAAAGAATATTAAAATAAATTAAAACTAAAGTAGTAGCTTTACAAATATCCAGTCTGGCCTTGCAAATATAACATGCAAAATGGTTTTAAAACTTTAGATTAGAATCAACAATTAAAAGCATTATGACATGATGGTGATGATGATGATGATGATGATGATGATGATGATGATGGAAGTATCTTGAAAAGGGACAAATAGTTTCAGGAAGAGGAGAGTACCATAAATACATCCCCATTGGCTGACATTTGTTTCAAATACCTAATTTGAGATTGACAGCAATTCTGAAGATGTTCTTATGGCCTACGTAAATTTATACAACTGAGGGCAGTTTATGCAATTGCTATTGTTTATCTGTTTTACATCAAAAACTTTATTAAATACAGGCTTCTATATGATATTAAAGCTGTATATGTTGCATGGTTCTGATTTGTGTAGAAGAAAGGCCTAGTAAAAATAATTATGACATTCAGAGTGGAAATAAGGGATAGAAGCAGAATAGAAGTATTTTAAATATAATTTGTATAGGAAAGTTGTAAATCAAGATAACAATATAATTTCAAGAAGCAAAGTGCATGACATTTGTACTAAACTCTTTCTCTTCAAATTGTACTTCCAAATGTCTTCTCACTAAGCTACAAGACTGGAAATCAAATTAACTAGAAAAAGATAGCTGGTAGATAGTGATTAGTAGTATAATCCTTATAAATGGCATGTCTCCTAGGTCTGCAGCTCTTTCTGTTCTTTTTTGTTTTTTTTTTGTTTTTTTAATGTTTTTTCATTTCCTCCATTACAGCAAGAAATAACACTCAACTCATCTCAAAAAAGTTAAGCATGGTCAGACCTGATTATTACTTGGATGAAAGATCACCTGGAAATCAATGGAAAGTTTTAAAAAACTCTTCAAAGAAAACAATAACAAATCACTCCCATATTGTTCCCAAGAAAATTACAAGAGTAGGAATCAAGGTCAACTTCGTAATAACTTCTGTTATCAGCCAGATAGTATGAAAGAAGTGGTTTGTTCAGATCCCATTCATTTTAGTATCTGAAGTATATTGTGCAAACTTTGCTATCAACACCCAGATTGCAAGGCACATCACTTCCATGCCATCTAAATATTGAAATTGTCTCCTTAACAACTATATTACTGTGATGCTTGCAAGAACCTGGACTTTACTACATATGTAATGGGCCTAATGCACATACTTCTCAGATTTTTTAAAAAATAAAAATAATTGAACATAATGCCTGATTTCCCAAAGAGATTACTTTGGCCTATAATCGTGCCATAACAGCATGTATGCCAGCCCAGAAAAGCAAATATTATTTTAACAACTGGACAACCTGGCTGCTGACAAAGGCTGCTGTGCTGTCTTTTCCTCATTCTTAAAAGGGAAGCAGGACGACTATTTCAAAAAATTCCTACAGTGAAACTGTTAAAGTTATCTAGCTGAAATGCATACCTGTCATTAGTAACCTTACTTCAGAATCCTGGCTTGTGACCTATCTAGTTCTACCTTTGGAGAAGTAGTTTGGTATCTATGACTGCTGCTATAAGAAATCCTGGAAACGGAGCTGGAAATATTCCATGGTAGGTATTCTTTTTATTAAGAGAAGCAGAATTCAACTTCCAGAAAAGGTGGATTCCATGACTGGTACATCCTTCTGTCATAGCAGAAGAAAGCAATGCAGATGAACCCAGTTTGGTCAAGCTACCTGAACTATCTTCTGGTTTCTAATCTTCACCAAGTGTTGCAAATACAGAGTTCCCTTATAACCAGAAAGGCTAGAAGAACAGGTATATAAAAATATTTGAAGCTGATATTCTCAGATTGCTATGTATATATTTGCATCAACATAACTTTACAATAGCTACAGCTCTTTGCCTCTCCCCTCCATTTCACAGCTCATTACATAATTTCCAAATTAACTTATTCTTGCACTCAAGCTGTGTGCATTACCATTTTATACATGGTATCAGTCTCTTCATCCACCACTAGCAGGCTTGTATTTTCACCAGATTGTCTGATTTTCTCTACCACAGCTTCATGGTCCAGTGCTTCAATCGGCTCTCCATTTACAGCCACCAAGATATCGTTGTCCCTGAGACCCACTTTAGCTGCAGGGCTGTCCATATCAATGTCCTTAATCAAGTGACCTGTCCCCCCCAAAAAAATTTTTTTAAAAAATCAGAAAAGCCTAATATCCTAGCAAAGCACAGTCCCATAGCCAATATTTAATTATGTACTTTAATTTTCAAAATCTGCATGTTAATTTTCAAAAGGAAGAGAATCTGAGAGAATGAGTTTGGCCAAAGCCCTCTGTTGTAGATATTCTAATAGTAGAATATACATCACAAGGCAGGGGCCAAACCTGATCCATCAAATTGGAATGGGAGAGTTTCTCTTTAGCAACTGTTATACAAGACTACAAAGTAGATGACTGACTAAGCTTGGAAGGACACTGTGGATTTCATTACATGCTTGTCTATTTCTCCCACTAATCTCCCATAGCTGTTGGGCTTGGGAATCCATTATATATCTATTAAAGCAGTAAAGCCCATATTGCAATAGAGGTAGTCTTTGACTTATCACCATTCATTTAATGGTCGTTCAAAGTTATGACAGTGCTGAAAAAAGTGACTTACGACCAGTCCTTGCACTTATGACTGTCACAGCGTCCCTGCAGTCATGTGATAAAAATTTGGGTGCTTGGCAACCGGCATGTATTTATGACAGTTTCAGAATCCTGGCATCATGTGATTTGCAACCTTTCCAGGGGGCTTCCAACAAGCAAAGTCAATGGGGGAAGCCAGATTCACTTAATGGCCGCATGATTCACTTAATTATCATGGTGATTCGCTTAATGACTGCAGCAAAAAAGGTCATAAAATTGGATATGACTCACTTAACCACTGCATCACTTAGTGATGGAGGTTTTAGTCCCAGCTGTGATTGTAAGCTGAGGACTACCTGTAGTTATACTACCCTATGGCCTTATTCTTACCTTTGCCATTTTGCTCCATTCTCAGGTAAAATCCATAACCATTATTTCCTTTTTTGAGCTCAAGATTTCGGGGTTTGTGAGGTAATAATTTCAGACTGGCCTTTTCTCTTGTCAGCTGCATATTCCACCTGAAGTAATACTGGTCAGTTTCTTTATCTGACAGTAGAAACACAACCTGATTCCCAGACCTTTTCACCTGAGGACATAGACATACAGTACTGTAACTGGGATGATATTTCTGCCCTGCTGTGTAGGCTGAAACAAATTCACATGCAGAGAACCAATGCATAAGAAAAACAGTCCATAAAAAAAACCATATCCATTTGTTTCTGATGATATTTTCATTGGTGAAGCTTGAATTGTTCTGTACTATAGTTATAAAACCTGTATCCCTGTAATTGATGCTTATTTGCTTGCTCTCGTATTTATTTCTTTCAGGCGTGGCACAGCTTTTTAGTTGTTTTGGAACTGAGCATTAATGATAATGTAAGATAGAAAGCAGATAGGTGGATATGAATTGATATAATTTGGGAGAATAGGACATTATTAAGAAGAGGTTGTGCTTCATTTAAGGGACCATGTAATCCACCTTGTTTAAAATGAAAGAGTGAATTTAAACACACAAATATTTTCCACTTATTCAATGCAATTTTATCTTCCATCTGTGCATGCCAGTCTTTGTCTAAGGAGATCTACTTGCGCATGCTGTGGCAAGGTGCAACTGGGGCAATAATTATCTGTATTCCATCAAGTCACCATTCCAACTTGTATTCTAAACATGATCTGAACTATCTACAAGGAATAGGGTGACAAATGAGGTTAAGACTTAAAGTACCTTCTCAACCACTTCTTCATGAGTATCGTTTTCCACATTCTCTCCATTGATTTCTATAAGGCGATCATTTGGCTGCACTCCAGCTTTTGCAGCTGGACCCTGTGGGGTCAAATCTACAATGAACAAACCTTTCTGTCCTGGAACAGAGAAGAGAATAGGAGAAACTGAATAATTCTTCACTTGTTAATATGTTCATTTTGCTCACAGTGAACACAGCATGAGTAGCAGTGTAGACCCCAGGCTAGTTCAAACAACACTTGTATGGCAGCAGAAATGTGGCAATAACATTTATGCCTTTCAGTGCCTCAGAAATTGAAAAGAATTTATTACTCTGTAACCCAGTGTTATTTTATGCTTTGTCAGATACTTTGGGTGGGGGAGGGAGGGGACTATTATAGTGGTGTAAGTGACTGATTAAGACTAGTAAGAATAAAATTACTTATTAACTAGTACTTGTTTTTCCACTTGTTAGGACTTAATTTATTATTCTACATCTACATTT